CGCAGCACATAGACTGTGTGTGTGTGTGTGTGTGTGTGTGTGTGTGTCCATCCTTGGGGACCCTTCACAAGAGAATGCCCTGCGTTGTTTCTTTGGAAGGGTTCAGTTTCTCCTGCAGTAAGAGAGAGAGAGAGTGTGAGTGTGTGTGTGTGTGTGTGTGTGTGTGTATGCAGGACCACATTAAGACTAACAGATTCCCCAAGGCTTTAGCTCTTATGGAGGGCCCTATGCACCTTTGCATAGACCTACTGCCTACATGCTCGCTTATATTAAACTTGAAAAGTAAAGTTTAAGATGAACTTTAATGTTGGCTCGACAACCTGACTTGAAAGTTGAAATTAGTTCTGAATAGTTTTTAAATTTGAAGAGTATAGTTTGAAAGTTAGCTCAAATAAATATAATATTTTTAAATAAGTCTCTCATCAAGCCTGCATTTATTTAATCAAAAGTGCAGTAAAAACAGTAATATTGTGAAATATTATTACAACATAAAATGTGTTTTTTTATTCAAGTATAGTATGAAATATAATTTATTTCTGTGATGGCAAAGTTGAATTTTCAGCAGCCATTACATCAGTCTTCAATGTCACATGATCCTTCAGATATCATTCTAATATGATGATTTGGTGCTCAAGAAATATTTCTTATTATTATCAGAATTGTTTAATAATTTTTTTATTTATTTATTTGAAATAGAAGTCTAATAAATAAATGTAATAAATGTCTTCACTGTCACTTTTTTAAACGCAGCCTTCCTAAATAAAAGTAGACATTTTATTTGCAATTTCATTAAAAAAAAACTTACTGACCTCAAAATTTTGAAAGGTAGTGAATCCATATATATATATATATATATATATATAGTGATTTTGTTAAATTGACCATCAGACAAAGAGACTGTTTTGTCTTTTGAGGAACACTCAATAAGAATTACCAAATGATAAGGAATATTAAGCAAATGTGTTCAGAGCTCTGAGATTCAACTCATCTGTTATTCTGTCTCTTCTTCAGTCAGAAGTTGAGTTTGTTGGAACGTGTGCGGCTGTCGACCCCGAGACCGTCGATGGTAAGGGCCCGTGTGATGATGCCTGCTGCCAATCCTGAAAGTGTGTCAGGGAACTGCGGGCCAGCAGAGGCGGTTGAGGAGAGTCCATCAAAAGAGGGCAAACCAGCAGGGTTCAGTAACAGAGAGAGATTCAGAACTGCTTTCAGAATGAAGGCCTATGCCCTGAGACAGAGCTCAGAGGGTATGACACACACACACACACACTCACTCACATACTCAAGATGCATTTTTAAAAGCTGAACTTCTTTAAAGTACTAAACTTTTTAACTAGTGCATACTTAGAAAAACAGTACACAGTACTTGTACAGTTAATATGCATACTCAATATACATAAATATACACACTCTTAGCAATTTACACACTATAATAATAGATACTACTATAAATACACAAGTATAGTAGACACTTACACAGTGCAGTTAATCTAACCTTGTTTTGTTGTTTCACTGTAGATACAGGAGGTCTGCCTGACCCCACTCCTGAGGAGAAGGGCTTCCCACCAGACATACTGCTGGAGGAGATGATTCCAACTCTCAAATTAGTCATAAGAGCGCTGCGGTACACAAATATTAAATCTTGTGTCCATGGATTATAATGACTTATACTGTCTTTTTATGCGTTGCATCGCGCCGCATAAACATAAAACCATATCTGCATTTGTGATCGGAGAAATGACAAACAACAAGCCCTACTCTACACTGTTCAAAACTCGCATTTGAATCATCAGTGGCAAATTCTTTAAAATATAAAAAACATACTTACAGGCTGTGAGTCAGAACAGTCGGCATTGTAGTCTAGCCTTGTAGTCAGCCTTGGTGAGCATTACATTTACATTTATACAATAAGCAGATGCTTTTATCCAAAGCAACTTATAAAAGACATTAAAGAACTTCTCTTTTTTTCTCTCATTTTGTAGGATCATAATATTCCTTTTGAGTAAGAAGCGTTTTAAGGAGACTCTGAGGCCGTATGATGTAAAGGATGTGATTGAGCAGTATTCTGCAGGACACCTGGACATGCTCACCAGAATCAAATATCTACAGACACGGTAACACACACACACACACATTAAAACATACACTCATGCACATTTTAAAGAAATACTATAGGAAACTTTTAAATGACTTCATGATGATAAAATGAGTCAAACATTTTTCCATTTCAAATTGTTCACTTGCATCATTTAAACTGTAACATATAATCTTCTTGTGAGTAAAATAGTCTAATATTTGCTGTTTCATCTTTAGACTAGATCTGATACTGACACCAGGACCACCTCTTACTCCAAAACACAAGAAACCCCAGAAAGCACCATTTCCGTACCCCATCCAGCAGTCACCTAGGTAAAAGCTCACCAAACTTTAAGGAATATTTATTTTTATATTTTTATTATGTTTAAAACTATATCAAACACTATATTTAAAGCTACACTATTATTTTGCTAGAGCATAATCCTAATAAAACCACAACCATTTTTAATAGTGCTGTCAAACGTGGTGGGAACGCCGCTGTCGCTGTTGTCGGTCACTCACGAGGAGCTGGAACGCTCGCCCAGCGGATTCAGCATCTCCGCCGAGAAAGAGGAGGTCACGGGCAAGGCCTCAGGGTTAACGGCAGGGTCGAGCTGGGGCCGCGACCGGCGCTATTTAGCTGAGGGCGAGACGGATACAGACACTGATCCCTTTACCCCCAGCGGACCTGTTCCACCCTCGTCCACCGGAGATGGGTTCCACTCCGATGGAGCGTGGGGAACACCACCCTAAAGACGCACTCACACACACTCTTTCTAAAGACTACAGACTCTGTACAGCACAAAACGACACAGACATAATACTCGTCATATCTAAATATGTATCCACGTCACGCTTTACCCCTGCAAAGCAAAGAGCACTGCATGGAATGCATGAGTTTTATCTCTAGTGGTAGACGCCGCACTTGGCAGATCGAGACTGTGTGGTTATATTTGACTGGGAACTTTAAGGGAGGAGAACACAACAGATGCTATGCCATTTTTGTAAACATTTATTTTTCTATTTACACATCTTTTCATATGCATGGACTGCATGACTCATCCATGGAGCAGCTAAATGTATCGACGTCTCCTCCGGTTTGCACTTGCTTTTGAATACTTGGGTTTGAGCACATCTTGAGCTCGTTTTTAGTTCCTTTTGCAGATTGTACAAACCTTTTTACTCTGGTCTGCATGAACTGCACTCTGGGACATGTCATATTTTCGCCACTAGCCGTTTTAAGGACCAAAAGCAGAGCCTCAGTTAGGAATTCCTCAAGTGTCTGGCCTTAATCCAACCAATGAGCACATCCCGCCTGTGAGTGGCACATAAAACTGCCGGCTTAATGAATATTGCCACTGTATCGTAGGACCAGCGTTCCCATGACAACTACAGTTTCCTTACAGTAACCCTGCATCAATCGCACGGATCATTCCAGGATCAATTAACTGTGGGAAATTATCAAACTTTATCCTTAGACAGCAGAATTATTTTTTAACATTGACCAGTTTACCTATCAAATTACAATAATTATTAGTTACACTTACTGAATGTTTTTACTCCAAAACAAATACTTAGGTCTTCCAAAAGGTTTCACATTGAACAGATCATGCGTAAATTCAGTGTTCAAATGTGAATTTACTGTCTGTATTTGTTGTAAAATTAATTCAGTCTGTACTGTCAGTTTTTCCCCAGGTTATTTTAGTATCATTCATCTTAGATACTACTATAGTTTTTTATATTTACATTTTTTTTTGTATATTTTCCATTTCATTTTAATTTTATACTTGCGAGTGTTTTTTTTTATTATTATTAAATTATTAAATTATTTTGGTTTTAGTTCTTTTTTTTTTTAGTACAACAAGTTAAATTAAATGACAAATGTTGCCCTGGCAAATAACGGAAATATTTTTAAAATATTTTATTTCTGTTCATTTTTATTTTAAACAATTTTTTTATTGTTTTAATTTGATGTTTCGGTTAACTATAACCACCCTGCCCCTGGTTATGGGTTCTGCATATCTACTTCCATTTATTATCTAATTATTTATTTTACAGTTCACAATGTCGAAACTTGATGTTCAGTAAATCTTGCACAAATCAAATTTTGCAACTTGCATTTAGGGTTTGAGATAAATAGTACTAATATTAGTACTAATATCTGTATACCTGTAACAACAATGAGTTTGAATTCAGAGAAAAAAAGCCATAAAATGGAAATGAACAATTACTCTTAAAGTTTTAGTTATTTCATTTATTGGTCATTTTGACCATGGATGTTTTTTTTTCTTCTCTTTGTTCCATTCTTTCCTTCTCTGTTACTCTGTCTGCTATAAGCCTGGGGTTATGATGAGGTCAAGGCAGTAAAATGAGGTTTAGTATAATGTTAGATGCTTAAAGTGATGAAGTTCACCAAATGAAAATGACTTTTTTCTTCTGTGGACACAAAATATATTTTGTCTAAAAGAAGAATGTTTTTGTCCATACAAGAAAAGTCAATGGGGCCCAAAACACTGAGACATTTTTCCAACTATCTTCTTTTGTGAGAAACAAAGTCATACAGATTTGGAACAACATGAGAGTTGAGTAATTGGGTGAACTATCCCATTAACCATCCTATAATCCTGCGATCATGAGACTAAACACTGCCGCTCATCATCATCTCAGACTAAACACTGTTAAACTCAAGTCCAACTCAAATATCCATGATCTCAAACTAAATACTGTTGTCATTATCCCAGAATAAACACTACAATCAACTTTTTATTTCAAACTAGTCACTAAGCACAGATGTCCAAACACTGTTGTCCATTACTATCCTCAACTAAACCAGCTAAACTAAAAATCAGTCATAAATCAGCCCAATAAAGCGGCCCATTAATATCTTTATACACTTTATCTTGGATTAAAAACTGTCAATTATTATCTCAGACCAAACAGCTGCCCATTATTATTATTCAGCTGCTCTCTGAAAGTAAGAACTGCTATCTGATTTTCTCTCTGACTACTGACTGCTGTCTATTCTGATCTCAGACTACTGATGTACACCGATACACTGCTGTTTATTGTTTGTGCCTTGGCCTTTTAGAGCACCAGTCCCTCTCTGCCGGTCATTACGTTCTCTTCATCATGAATCAAACCTGCCATCATTTTGCTTTTTAGGCCATCCATAATCGTTTTGCTCCCGGTGGTATCAGTAAAGCATCTGTTCATTTTCCTAGGACCTATTCGGTTGTGTATTTTCCTTTTGAAGACCCCAAATATTATGTTTTCGTTCTCTTCTTTTTGGTTTCAGATGAAATGATTTCACACTAGTGGCCTTCTAAGCTCTTATATTCATTCCAGTTTTTGAATAATAATCTTTATTTACATTCTGGTCAAGGCCAGTTTTAATAGTTTAATTTGATGAGATAATATGCAAATGTTATGACGAACTTGATTTTTTTATGTTAAATCTTCAAATTGCACCAGTTAGTAATAAAGATATATTAAAATATACATTGCGGTTTGTTCTTGTTTAATTAGAAGTCCTCAATTATGACTTTGTTTAGAGACAGATGCTGCTGCATTGAAGTCAGTGTTGTACAGTATTTTACTGTAAAATTACGTTAAATGTAATTACATTTATTCACCGAATATATTATGGAAACTTACTGTTAACCAATTAACAGGTTTTTACTGTAGCATTTTTACAGTCTTTTACTGTTAAAATCACAATCATTTTTTACAGTGTAAGTAGTAGAGTTTAGAATAAAAAGCAACTAGTTATGCCACATTATTACTTATTATTAAATGTAACATTTATTGTTGCATAAATATATACAATGCCATCCAAACATGTGGGATCTGTAAGATATTTCATGTTTTGAAGATACAATAACTGTTCTATTTTAATTCATTTTAAACGTAATTTATTCCTGTGATGCAAAGCTGAATTGTCAGCCAGCCTTCACATGATCCTTCAGAAATCATTCTAATATGCAGATTTGGTGCTCAAGAAACATTTCTTATCAGTATTATATACAGATAACTGCTTAATATGTTTGTGGAAACTGTGATAAAAGATTTTTTGATGAATAGAAAGTAAAAAAAAAAGTTATTTATTTGAAATAGAAATACTTTTTAAATGTCTTCACTGTTATTTTGCCTGCAGAAATAAATATTATGGATAAAGAACTTGTATTTTAGCCAGAAGCAATGCTTTGAAAGCAAAACCTTTTATTAATGGACTGGTTTCTTACTATACAAACACCCAGCTTTTCGCTTCACAAGACATTAATTGATGGACTGGAGTGTGGATTACTATGTGGATTAATTATTGTGATGTTTTTATCAGCTGTTTGGACTCTCATTATGACGGCACCCATTCACTGCAGAGGATCCACTGGTGAGCAAGTGAATAATGCTAAATTTCTCCAAATCTGTTCTGGTAAAAAAAACAAACTAATCTATATCTTTGATGGCCTGACAGTGAGTAAACTTTCAGCAAATTTTCATTCTAGGGTGAACTACTAGAGAAATATAGTGATCGCAAACTTTTGAATGGTAGTGTACTGTATATGGTGACATACAGCATATTAGATTTGTTGGTTTAAATATCCCATACCTTGAAAACTAACTGAAAGTAACATGTGTTGCTTGTAAAACATGACACTAAAGATTCCCAGCTGAACCGACATTTAGCATCTCCTGGTCACCAAAGACCCAGTCACTGTTCAGAGTTCAGTAGAGTCGCAATAACAGAAAATAGCTGGAAATATTGTGGCGAACACAAGTAGAGGGGTTGTTGTGGCAATGGCCCTCTGCCTAGTTCTTGGTGTCCAGGACAACAGAGTTTCCCAGGCCTTGCGCTGTCCCAGAAACCATACGCTGCCAAACAGAATGTACATGAGAAGAGAGGCTTAGTGTACAGGACGTGTGATTTTCATATTTAAAGAAAGGCCAAAAGTGTCAACTTCAGGGTTTTTTGGACAGCTACATCTGCAAGAGAAAAGAGGCTATATACTATTAATTCGTCCAAATAAAATGAAAATTGGCTTTTGGGGATGTCTGAAGTCATTTGAAATCGCATCTATGAAACCATTATGGTGAAACCGGCATGTGTGTGAGTTTGTATAACTGTGTTACATTTAGCAGGAGGGAGATAATCTATATCTGAGAGTTTCTTTGTGTGTGATTGTGTGTGTGAGAGAAAGAGAACGATTCTATATCTGTGAGAGTATCTCTGTGTGTGTGTGTGTGTGTGTGTGTGTGTGTTGGGCTGAGAGCAGATCCTCTGTGTTTGCCAGCTGAGCTCAGGTGACACACTGGAGGGCTATTACAGCCTGTAGCCCTCTCCGGGGACCATGATGCCCTGCTGGTTCTGTGTGTGAGTGTGTGAGAGACAGCGGACAGCGAGCAGATGGCTGTCTGTGTCCTGCAGTGTCTGCGTCTCTCTTCTGCAGGTGAGAGTGTTTTTTTTTGTTATTGTTTAGTTCACACTCTTCCTCACTCTCTCTGTGTTTCAGCTCTCACTGGCACTTAATATACAGTGTGAACTTTTATGCTGCTTTTTAAATGATTATTCATTTGATTATTTCTAGTGTAATTTTAGTTTGGATGAATAATTCTGTCTTTTTGGCAATTTTAAGATGTAAATATCTCTTTATAATATTTTTGTAATTGATTTAATCAGTGAGTTGCATGTATTTATTTATGTATTTATCTATTTATGCAAGTATATATTTATTTATAGTTCCAGTTACTGAAAGACA